GTTTGCCGGAGCTTCGCACCGCGCAAACCCGCTGCGCCCGCGGCGGCGTGGTCGGTCCGTGTGCGCGGCCCGGGGGTCCGAGCTCTGCCCACCGGCCGTCGCCTGCCCAGCCCGGGGACCTGAGGCCGGGCGGCCACCTCCGTGGCCGGAGAGGGGGCGATGCCTTCGGGAGGGGCTGTCGTGACGGTTAAGTAACGTTTGATGGAGCGTTTGCTAAGCGCTGAGCGCTTTAGAATTAGTGTCCCTGAGCCGGGTGAAGGTGTTTACGCCAAGGTCAGGGCCGCTGGACAGCCGCCGTCCGCGTCCGCCGCCGCTTTGCCTCGGGATGTGGAAGGCTTTATGAAGGGCCGGCACAGTGTCTGGCCCATGGCAGGAGCTCTGGCGGTATTTTAATGACTTTCCTTGGGATGGGTACCCTGCCCTGGATCCTGGGAGAATGGAAATGTAGTGGGAAACGCTTCCTCCTTGCAGAAACCATCTCTCTAAGTAGACAAATCACATTATTACAATAAGCAGAGAATTATCAGAATAAAAATGGTTGAAATGTAGTTAATATGTCAGTGCTGACTACGCATAACTTTTAGAGTTGGGAAATGCCATAAAGATTAAAGTGACTTGGAAATGGTACAGTGGGACAGTGGCTGTGCCACTGATCAGCGCTGGCTGCACGGTTGTTTGTCATCCATGTTCACGTGTGTTGGGTAAGTGACTGCTCTGGCAGGAAGAAGTCAGACTTGGGCGGAGGAAAGAGGAGGGGTCTGGGAGCACCCGCCAGAGCTCTGAGCTGTTGCAGGACTCCCAGGGTGGCAGGCGGTGACGTGGGGCGAAGCCCCGGAGAGGAGGAGGATGGTCATAGAAATGGGAAAGTTTGTGATAATTGTCGTCCAGGTCACCTCGCTTTAAACTCCCTATTTCCAGGATTGCATGAGAGATGGAAATAAGTCAAAGGGGTGTAGTGGTAGCGGGTGAGCCGCTAGTCAGGAGACGCTGATTCTAGTTTCAGCTGTTCAGCTTTATAGCTTTAAGCAGATTAGAATCTCTCTGGCTCTAAGTGCCTTTTCAACAAACACTCGCGGACACCTACTTGCAACCTAGTAGATTTTTGGAGGATATTAGGGAGACACAGAAATTATCATTAGGTTCATTGCCATGGAAAATATGGCAATGAACCTAATGATAATTAAGCTGTACTTACAGGTGATTTGGAAGGTAAATATTTTTAAATACATGAGTTCTTGGTTTTTACTTTATTGGAATACCGTTAGGAAACTTAAAATTTTTCCTTACAAATTTTTGTGGATTAGCAGGTAAATTCTACACATCCAGCAACGTAATACATTCATGTAAATCGTGTTAAAATAGTTGTAGCTTACTGTAAGGCTTATAAAAATAACGAGAGAAGAAATCTAAAATTAAAGCATTTTACTAGCAGACTATTTAGCTTGTTCTCGCGTTTCATTTATTATGACATTTTCACTTGTTAATATTTCATGTGAAATTGGGAAAATGTGAGAGATACTGGGGCATCCTCTTGTAAGTGCTCAGACACGACTAAGTCCGTACAAACAGGGAGTGATGACGGTGGGTTATATTTATGATCCGTGCTGGGCCCCTGGGTGGTAGCACCAGGGAGTACTGTGTGCACAGCGAGGCGTGCGCTGCCTGGGGCGGGACAGCTCGTGTGCGAATTCCGGCTCCAGTGCCAAGCAGCCCTGTGACTGAGTTCCTCGCCACAGCCTCGGTTTCTTCATCTGGGCGCTGGGGCCGACGTGGCAGTTCTCGGAGCCTTTCATGTTCATTACTGGACGGGGTTCTCATAATGGTTTCTCTACTTTGCAGACGACTCGGCGACAGTAAGAGGCTCGCTTGAGACCCCTCGTCTAATTCTCCGTGGAGACCAGACGTAAACCCCGGGCTTGGCTGGTTTTGCTTTGTCTGTCTGTAGTTCCGTTGTTCTTTGTATGCCTTTCTTTTGCTGGTTAATTTTAAATCCTTTCCTAAACCTTATGACGGTTTTTCCTGATGCCTGGGAAAATTCTTACATAACTAGAATAGTTTAACCCATAATGAAGTATTATTAAGTCAAGTCTTTAATATTTTATATCTCGAATGCTTGAAATTTATGATCGAATATTTTCCTTGCATTAGGCCTATTTTTATAAATTACCCTTATAAGTGAAAGAGTCAGTGTACCTTCCTTTAGATGAGTTGGGACTTAAAAAGTACATTGAAGTGTTGTATCTTCGTTGGCTTATTACTGATTCTTTCTCCTCTTTGTCATGTGTTGTAGAGCCTCTGACATGCAGGCGTCCAGCTCCAGGTCCGTGCACCTGAGTGAATGGCGGAAGAGCTGCTTTGCGATCACGTCGGGCACATGTACAGCCGGGCAGAAGGCAGATGCCTACCGGGCGCAGATACTGCGCATCCAGCACGCGCTGGCGAGCTCTGAGCTCTCGCAGGTCTGTGCCGCCAGACTGTTCAAAAGATACGCGGAAAAGTACTCTGCCATAATTGATTCCGACAACGTTGAAACCGGCTTGAATAACTATGCAGAAAACATTTTCACTTTAGCAAGGTCCCAGCAAACAGACAGTGACAAGTGGCAGTCTGGACTGTCGGTCAATAATGTTTTCAAAATCAGTACCGTACAGGAGATGCTGCAGGCTGGCAAGAGGTTCCGGGACGCCCTGCTGACACCTGCCGACGCGTCAGTGGTGATCCATAAAGAGGCCATGACCGCCGGTCCCGCTGAGCTTGGTGCTCGGGGCAGTTCTGCGGAGAGCGACCCGTTTCCTCCCTCAGCTCCTGGTCCAGATAGGCCCCGAGACGTCCCCGGGAGCAGTCCTCTGATGGGCCCTCCGAGTCCCCAGCCACCTGTGGTGACGAACACCCCAAAGACGTGTCCCACATCCGCAGCACCTTTTGGTGAAGTAGTCACTGCACAGTTCCGTGCCACGCCATTATTTGGAAATGTCAAGAAGGAAAATCACAGGTCCCCAAAAGCCAGCACAGGACTGAGCGTGTTCTCATCCCATCAGCCTTTTCCTTCTGGCTGTGGAAATCCACGAGAAAGGAAAGCTGGTTACGTTTCTGGCACCACCGACGCCTTCTCCACAATACCGAGTCAGGGCTTTGGCGGAACAGAGGATGCTGGCCAGAGAGAGGAGAGCAGCCTGCCCATGTTTAAAACTGCGAGAGAGCAGTTCTGGGCAGATCAGCACAAGAAGTGCCGCCAACCCCCGCGTGCGTCCGGGCCTTCGTATGGCGGCGTGAAGAAGTCTCTGGGAGCCAGCAGGTCCCGAGGAATATTCGGCAAGTTCGTGCCCCCTGTGCCTCAGCACGAAGGCGGGGAGCCGGGCGGGGGCCTGCAGAGTAAGTCCGACAGTGCTGTGCCTGCGGGCCCGGGGCATCCAGCCGACGAGCGGCTCAAGAATGTGGAGCCGAAGATGATTGAACTGATCATGAGTGAGATTGTGGATCATGGGCCCCCGGTGACCTGGGATGACATCGCGGGGGTCGAATTCGCCAAGGCCACCATAAAGGAGGTGGTGGTGTGGCCCATGCTGAGGCCAGACATCTTTACTGGTCTGCGAGGGCCCCCTAAGGGCATCCTGCTCTTCGGGCCTCCCGGGACCGGCAAAACGTTGATCGGCAAGTGCATCGCCAGTCAGTCCGGGGCGACCTTCTTCAGCATCTCCGCCTCGTCCTTGACCTCCAAGTGGGTGGGCGAGGGGGAGAAGATGGTTCGGGCGCTGTTCGCCGTCGCCAGGAGCCAGCAGCCGGCCGTGATATTCATCGACGAGATCGATTCCCTGCTGTCTCAGCGGGGAGACGGCGAGCACGAGTCTTCTCGGAGGATGAAGACCGAGTTCCTCGTGCAGCTGGACGGAGCCACCACAGCTCCCGAAGACCGCGTCCTGGTGGTGGGGGCCACCAATCGGCCGCAGGAGATCGACGAGGCGGCCCGCAGAAGGCTGGCGAAGAGGCTGTACATTCCGCTCCCGGAAGCCGCCGCCAGGAAGCAGATGGTGACGGCTCTGCTGTCCAGGGAGCGGAGCCGCCTCAGCGAGGAGGAGGTGGCGCTGGTCGTGCAGCAGTCTGCCGGCTTCTCGGGGGCCGACGTGACGCAGCTCTGCAGAGAGGCGTCCCTCGGCCCCATCCGCAGTCTGGGGGCCGCCGACATCGCCACCATAACGCCAGAGCAGGTGCCACCCATTGCTTACGTCGATTTCGAAAACGCTTTCAGAACTGTGCGACCCAGTGTGTCCCCAAACGACTTGGAGCTCTATGAAAACTGGAACCGAACTTTCGGTTGTGGGAAGTAAGCGGGCTCCTGGCACTGAGGTGGGCGCCCAGTCCCTCCCCTTCAGCACGGGACCCTGGGGGTCGTTAGCCGGGCGCTTCCTGTGCACCGTAAGTTAGATACCTCAGGATGGCACAGCACGAGCTCGGCGCCCACGTGGACTCACGCAGCCTGTGCCAACAAGCTGGGTGCATGCGCCCGCCGTGGACGCCCGTTCGCGCAGAGCACGGAGGAGCTGTCTTTGCTCGTTTCTGATGGGTCTTTGTTTTCGGCATGTGTAATGGGATGAATGGTGAGCTCAAGTTGAAATTAAGAAATCATATTTGTGTGTGAGGACGCACGATTTATATATTCCATTGAAGAACGTTTGTTCGGAAGACCACATAATTCTGTGCTGGCTGGTTTTGTGGTTTGCATTTGAAACAGCATTGCTTACTGTTGTTTAATAAATTTAAGATCTCAGCAAAAGCTGGAATAAAAGCACCTGTTTTTAAAAGCACTCGGCCTGCTTTGTCATCTTGCTGTTCTTCCCTTACCAGGACTAATTTCTAGGGTCAGAAATAGCAAAGTGGATGTAAGACCAGGCACGTGCCATAGGACCGAAAGGTGGAGGATGCTCCTCAGGGGAAGGTGGTATCTAATACCACTGTACTTGACACTGCTTCACAGCCTGCAGTATCGGTCTCTCAAAAGTAAATATTTTTCGTATTTTTATAACGGACCATTCTGTGTTATCAATAGTACATGTTCGTTGTAGAAACATTACAATATAGAGATGAGCGGAAGGAAAGTGAAAACCACCTTCTTCCACTTTACGCCCTCTTAACATTTTACTATTCTTTTAAATTTGTTTATTTTTTTAGGTGAGGCAACCCTCAGTTGACCTCACAGTTTGCAAGGACCTCGTCTGCTGACGATCCCTTATTCATTTTTTATGCCTACGCACCTGGTCTTCCTAGGCGGTCTCCCATCTAGGTACTAACCAGGCCCAACCCTGCTGAGCTTCCGAGGTCAGCCGGGATGGGGCTGGTTCAGGGTCGCGTGGCCGTGGACCCTGTTAACATTTTAGTCTCAGTTCCGGGCGTTTTACACAGGAGTGGGACGGTCCTGTGCGCTTTCTGTAGCCTGGTCTTTCTCTTTAAAGTGCGTCAGCGCCGTTTGCCCTGTTAACACGTCTACGATGCCACTTGTCCCGTGACTGCCCGGGGCGGGTCGATGCAGTCGCCCTCCGACAAGGCATGTAGGTGGCACCTCACGTTGCTGACCTTTTCTTCATTGTAAACAAAAAATATGTGGAGCGCCTCAGTGACCCTGCGCCCCCGTGACACCAGTCACAAACCTTTACATGGGGCCCCAAACTTCCAAATGTACAATTAAAAACCAAAAGGTGCTGAAAACGCAGCAGAACTGTGAGAATCTTGACAGCACACAGCGCTGGGAAGGACAGGGAAGTGGGCGGCACAGGGTCGGGGCGCCCAGCCGGCTGGACGTGGCTACGAAGCGACCCCGCTTCTGGGTGTCTGTCCCACACAAACTTCACGTGAAGAAACAACAAACCTCCGTCCACGGAGACTCAAACCTGTTCCGTGGGTTTCACGCAGTGGCCTAGCAACGCGAGTCGATGGGCGTGTGCACGCGGGAGGCTCAGTGCGTCCCACGTGTCTGCCCGGGAGCCCAGGCGCCCAGGGGCTCCAGGAGGAGACACCGGGCAGGGGTTGGGGGGGGCGGTGCACAGCTGCCTTCACACACAGCACCATTTTGACCATTTACAACAATAACGTGCTCTTTTAAAAAGACTCAGCCAGCGAAGTATATATATATAAAGTATTGAACGTAGGATTGTTCAATACTCTGGTGTGTGTGTGTGTGTGCGCATGTGTGCGGATGGGTCTGTGAGTGATGGACAGGCAAGTGTAAGAATTAAAAGCCCCCATTATAAATTCCTCTTAGGAAATACTATGCATTGCATATGAAAATGGGGCTGAAAAGATGACTAAACAGTAAATCTTTAAAAAATAGGTCGAAGGTGCATGTTTTGCACATATATGATTGAACTTTAGAAGTAAACCTCAATCACAATTCATAGCAAATAGTCATTCATCCAACTCCAAATTGAGCAGCGCTATCAAAATCGCTTTAAAGAATAGTGAGGCACAGATGGCTTTCATCTGCGTTTTTTAAGAAACCAGAAACCCATTTTACGAAGGAGCCCGAGCAAGCGACACACGCATGACGCTACGCGTGTGACTGCAGAAGCGGCCGCGTCACCCAGTGGAACGCTGCGCCCCGGGGAACGATAAGCGTCTGGAAAAATAATTTCACAAAATACAGAAAATTGCTGTAAAACTAGGGCACAATCGCAATTTAAAGGAAATGGTGCAGATAAATCCATTTTAATGGATAAGCTTAGTAGATGCAAAATAAATATGTCAGTGCTTCATTAGTCATCCCTTTCGACCGCTCTAAATTAGAGTGGAAAATGCATACAGCGTCCACTCGCAATTGGACACACAAAAATGAAATAAAAATGGTTTTCCGTGAGCCGTTTTAGCAGTTTGGAAAGACGTGACCCTGCTCTGCAATTTCAAAAGTTCTTCCTCATCTCACTTTATGATCCCGTTGTGCACCTTTGGCGTCAGACGTCACCCTAGGCCATCGCCACTGGACAGAGCTCAGCGTCTCTTTTAATCAGGTGAACCTGTCTTGATGGATCACAAGGGTCAGTATTTTCATTTAACAAAAATCAGGTGAGCAAGATTGGGCCGAGAGATCGGCCTGGCGTCACTGCCGGACGCAGGGCGATTGGCAATGAGCCCAACTCACACCCTCAAGGGGCTGTGGCCTTGTCCCCGCTGGTGACGCTCTGCCGTGGAGCAGCATTGTGAAGTAGTGAGCAAAGCTTGTCTTTCCCGCGGAGGACACGCTCATCCAGTGGCGTGAACCCATGAAAGCCACAGAAGGCCGGTAGAGGACTTGAGAAAACTAACAGCAGAAACACTAGCAGCTGAGATGAACAGGGGCGTGAAGAGAGTGGAAATGCATAGCATCTGTCAGCCCCCCAAAGCCTTCTAGCAGGAGACGGGCTGATGCGACGGCTCGCCTGCCAAACCCTTTCAGGACAAAGGAAGGATGGCTCAGGGGGCAGAGCCCAAAACTCAGAAGGCAAAGCCAAGAGCCACAGGAAATTATCCTCAGACGTTGAAATTTAGTCAAGGCACTCCCAGCGCTGGCCTGCCCGAATTTCAAAACTGCTGTGGAGCAGTGACCCCTGAGCACGGCGCGTGTCTCCCCTGTTGGGATAGGTGTGGATAGCTGCTACCTGTGCCCACCGATGAAGAGACGTGTGCCCCAGGAGTGGTACTCAAGGAACCACACCTCCGGGGAGTGACTGACTTGAACTCGACTTAGGTGATTAGATTTTGGACTTTGAGTTGATGCTTGAATGGGAGGAGGCACTTGGAGAGGTGAATGTACCTTACAGGTGTCGGGGTAGAATCGGTGTGGGCCAAAGGGTGGGCTCCGGTGGACAGACTCTAGGGTGATGACATCGGTTGGTCAGGGTCTCCTATAGTCGCACCTAGAATGCGATGCTGCTGGAAACAGCAACTACGATGAGACTGACCAAGAGTCACGCTCGTCGTTAGTTCACAAAAGACCTCGGCTTGCGGCTGATGCACCCGCTCTGGCTCCTGCTCACTCTGATGGGAACCAGCTGCCACGAGGCGAGCTGCCCTCGGCGGAGGCCCACGTGCCAAGGTCACGGGAAGGCCTCTGCCAACAGTTATCGAGAACTGGGCTTCCTGACCACCGGCACGAGAGGAAGTGAACCCTGACAATCATGTAAATGAGCTCGAGAGAGAATTGCCCCCCAGTTGAGCCTTCAGATGAGACCTCAGCCCAAACAAGCAACTCGATTGCAGCCTGGAGGCACCTGACGCCAGAAACCCAGCTAAGCTGCACCCGGACTCCTGCCGGAAACGATGACGACGGGTCTTTCCTGTTTGAAGCTGCTAAGTTTGGGGATAAACTGAAAGCAGCAGTAGATAACTAATAAGGCCAGCAAAAGGACATTTCTCGCACACTTGAATTGGTGACCCAGAATTCAAACATACTGTCCTATGCGTAACTTCCCTGCTCACCACGTGAATTTGCCCCCAAAAAGCTTGTAGTCAAAGAAAGATTTTCCGGGTTGCTTCCACAGGCTCCAGAGCATCTTTCCAGTAGCTCGTCCTCAAAAACCCCGGGATCTCCTCCTTATTTAAAACTCGCCAGCTCACCCACTTTTTCTGTTTGTTTGATTAAAATACCTCCTATCTTCTTCATTTGAAAATTCTCTCTAATTAAAATTTTTGGACCACAAGAAGCTGTCTAAGTAGTCCAGGGACATTCACGCCCTTGCCCAGTTCCCCCGGTGACAACATCACCCGTAACCGTGATGCGCCATCAACGCCCTCCGCTCCTTGTTTTGAACAGGGATGCAAGTCTGTGTGGCAGACTTTTCAGTTGGCTTCTCGTCGAAATGGGAAGTCTTTCCTTCACTGGAGCCTTTCTCCAAAGGAGGCCATAGCTCTACCTAGGTCCACCTGGAAGGCCGGGCCCTCAGACTCCAGCCACAGCGTGGGGCTCAGTGAGCCTCTAGAGCTGTCAGCCAAGGGAGACCAGCATGCAGCTGACCTCCTTTGTCCGCATGCTGCAATGGCCTCCAAGCCTAGCTGTTCCTTTGGGGTTTTTCTTGTTTTTTTTCTCTGAAGTCCCCCCATGCCACGTATACCTTTTTAACCTCAGATAAAATTAGATGCTTGTTCTGCTGTTGATCTGTCTATTGCCGGTTTGTTTCACAGACCCCGCCACTGAGCATAAGAGGGTAGAGGGAAATATTTCGTCCTCTGCCAAGACATGAGCGTTCGTGGCCCCAGAAACCCGAAGGCCGGGGTGGAGGGGCAGCCGAAAGATGCGTCGCCGCCCATGTTGCTGGGGGGCCCTTTGCCCTGCTTGCCCAGGCCAGGGCAGAGCTCGGCAGAGGTCGGGAGTGGGAGACCAAGGATGGGGACACCCGTCTGGGTTAGAAGATTCTGGCCAGAGCGAGGTCCTCCCACAGCCCCGCCCGGTGGGGGACCCCTCTACCCCTGTTAGCAAGAGTTTAGGCAAGAACAGATCTCAGGGGCATACCAGCTCAACGACAGGTTTTAAAGGTACTTGAAAAGCAAACCGTAAGCACATGCCGCGGATAAAACACCCTTACCTGGCTGCAAGGCTTCACTCGCTAAGCGACTGGGGGAGGGTTTTCCCGCCCCGAGGTCAGCCTGCCTGTCCTTCAGCCTGTGGCGGCCGCCGCTGCTGCGGGGGCTCAGACCTGCCCCCGAAGCAGGTGGGCGGTCAGCCGCCCTGCCCCTCCCGGCGGCACCTGCCCCCAGTCACCGCTAGGTGGCGAGCGCCTCTCAGCTTTCGCCAGGTGCCCAGGTGGCCGCGGCCGCCTTTTGGCTTTTGACACCGTTTTCA